AAATCCTGTCCTCAAAGCTACCCTGTCAGCAAGCTCAAACAGTGCCTGGCAATTTACCAATATAACCTATTTACAAAAAAAAAAAAGCATATGTCTCTTTATAAAACTGAAGATAGAAAGTGGTTACTTTTTGGAATGCTCAGAGAAGAAATTACAAAGTGCTGTACACTGGACCAGAGACTATATGTTGAGTTGGGTGAGTGCAGGCTGGACCTTAGGCATCTGTCCTTCCTTATAACCTCCATAGACTTGTCCTATGTTGGGAGTGGAGGACTGACAAGACACAGAAAGCATTTTCTTCTTCAGAGTATTATCCGAGACAGAACAGTTGATTTTGAAGGATCACCCTCTATTTTCTAACTTTCTAAGGTCCTCGTGGATGCACAGCAGTTTGCATTCATGGTTAAGCAAAATCAAGCTAACAGAAATATCTGGCTTACCTGAGATTTTCTCTTGCTGCATTTAGAGTGTCCAACTGTTTGAAGAACTTAAGCAAGCATGTAAGTAGAGGCAGACAACTTGAAAAACTTAATTCCCCTCCCTTTTACAAAAAGACTACGTTTTAGGATAATATAATACACTGATAGATATCTCCAACTAGACACCATTTTTAAAAACCCTTTTGTCTTAACCTTAGACCAGGCTTGAGTGCAGAAAAACATCAGGGATTCTTTCTAACCAATACAGGTTGATACAGGCTAGAGTGGCCTTCTCGTTCTTCTGTGAGACAAAAGATTGTATATCAGAATCCCTTCTGTGTCATCCTTGCCTTTGTCCTTCATCCTCTGGAGTTTTCTCCTTATCTTCCCATCTTGAGTGACCACAGGGAAAGGAAAGACTGGTTGGACTAGTCAGTCCTCCCATTATTGGTGACACAAAGTCTCCTGTGTCTCTTCTTCCATCAACAAGGGTGAGAAAAGGAGAAGTCCATTTGTTCTCACTGATGTGACTAGGCATGATTACCCCAATAACCTTGGTGAGTTTTCCCCCCAAATTTTACCTTCTTAGCCTTAGCCTGTTGGTGCAGGAGCGTTCATCTGTTGAAACTCTGGAGTAACTATTGTAACTCAGATAATAGCAAAGTCAGCCAGTTTTTAATGATAATATGAGTATAGGGGATCTTGGCTCCCTTATGGCTTAAACTTCCAATATCCTCCTTAAATGTTCCCTCTGCACCTCTTTTGTTCCCTCAAATGGGGTCCAAGTTTGTCCTAGAAGTAACACTATATCTTTCCAGGCAAAGTCACAGAGCTGGGTAATTTGTTTTGAAGTCTGTATTTGCTCAGTTTAGCTGCTTACAGCCTCACTTAAATCTCTTAGCTCTCAGAAGAAAAATGAGAGATTAACTAATTCTGGTCAAGAGTCCCTTTCATTCACTTCCATTGGGGAACTTTCCTGTGAGTGAGGACGGGGCAGCGTAGTGACCCGTTGGGAGCATGTCTCCCATAAAGGGGAAACAGATTCCCTGAGGACTGAGAGGCTACAGGGGAGATAGGAAATACGGACAGAGAGCCTGTGGGAAACACAGAATTCTCAGAGCAGGGCTTGAAGAAAAGAAACGCTGAACACATGGATTTTCGATCCATTTCCCTGACCTCTCACAAGATAGATCTCATTCAAAAATTGCATCGTAGTGAAAACTGCTCTCCTGTGCCAGGCAGTGGTAGCACATACCTTTAGTCCCAGCACTCAGGAGGTAGAGGCAGGAGGATTCCTGAGTTCAAGGCCAACCTGGTGTACAGAGTGAGTTTCAGGACAGTCAGAGCTACAAGGAGAAACCACATCGTAAGAAACAAAATAAAACCAACCAAACAAGCAAGCAAACAAACAAACAAAACAACAACAAAATGAACAAACAAACAAACAAACAAACAAACAAAAAACCCTGCTGCCCTGTGACCAGGATTCCCCATCACTTAAGGAATATTCCAACCATAGGCAAACTGAATCTAGAACATAAAATCCTTTCTCCTGGGCTATGTGGGTCCACTTCATTCTGCCTTTTTTTTTTAGGAGGCAGGATAGCACAATGCCAGCAGACATCCTGTATCGCCTTGTAATTAAAACCAACAGCTTCAGTAGAAGTTGAGTAACTATCTCTTCACTTTCAGCTCTCTGCCTGGAGGAGTATCTCTGATCCAGTATGGGAGTTCTCCTCAAAGACTGGTTCCCAGGTCTTGAGATTAACTCATGCTTTCCCATGGCCTGTAGTCACTCCCAGATACTTCCACTTATATCTAAGACACTTCTGACATCTTCGTTCTTCATTCCTCACAAGTGCTAAGAGAGTCAGTCTCTCAACAAGGGAAGATGCTCGTTGTCCCTGGCTCCAGTAGGCAAAACACTTTTAAAAAATGATGGCTGCCTAGCAGAAATGTCTCTGATTCTTTTCCATTCATAAACCATAGTTTTCTTACTACAAGATGAAGCTAACAAAAAAAGGTGAACTGCGTCTCAGATGAGATGTCTCAAATAATGCTCAAAAGTCAGGCCTCACTTTCTCTGCTAAGAGAGCAGGTATAGAATAAGGGGCTAGAGGGAACAGATAGACCTTGCTAAGAAAATGAAATAGAATAATTATTTGTGGATGGATTGAGGGGCTTCAATGGGAAGATCAAGGTAGGAAGGTCAGAGAAGAGAGGCCATGGAGAGAATACAAGGAGAGACAGCTAAAGTTAAGAAGCATATAAGGGATACTAAAATATATACATGTTGTGAAGGCACCACAACAGAACCTTCAGCAGACGTGAAGTATATATGAGTTCCCCCCAAAAAAGAACTTGGGGTTCCTGCTGTGAGACTGGTAATAAAACTAAGAGTCCCTAAGGTACAGTAACCCATGTATTACGCTGCGGAGCAAAGGTGTGACACATGCACCCATTATGTTACAGCATAGTAGCAAGAGAAATGGGAAGCTTCCTGAGCCTATTATGAGCCAAGACTTGACTCTTCATCTTGTACCCCGTGACCATCCCTGTCCCTTGTGACTCCATTCATCTGAAATCCTTCCCTGACCCATGTCAAAAAGCCAGAGTGGTATCATGGACTGGCTTCTACCACATAAGCCTTAGCAATCTCACTCTTCATGGCAGGTGACAACTTCCAGCATGCTATGAGGCCTTGGGGTGGGAGATAAGCATTATTACTCTTTCCTCACGCTCTCTAACATCTACCCATCATGCTTGTAGACTCTGATTGGGGAGTGCTACCACAAGCTAGGTTGTCATTGGCTGAAAGATAGATTCATTAGCTCCACCATGATGCTCTGTGTTTCCAGAACAAGAGACTACTTGGTTGAAAGGAGAGAGAGAGAGAGAGAGACAGAGAGAGAGACAGAGAGAGAGAGACAGAGAGAGAGACAGAGAGAGAGACAGAGAGAGACAGAAAGAGAGACAGAGACAGAGAGACAGAGACAGAGAGAGACAGACAGACAGAGACAGACAGACAGGCAGGCAGAGAGACAAACAGAGAGAGACTAACAAGGACACAGAGAGACAGACAGACAGACACACACACACACACAGAGCTTCATTCATTTGTTTCAAAGCCATATTCATTCATTAGGGATTGCAATGATCCATAAACAACTGAATAATACTAAGTGCAGGATTGGGTGCTAGTATCAGGGCAGTGTAGTCCTTTGGGGGGCGAACAATGCCTTCATACAGAGTTGTGAACCTCTGAGCCCTCAAATTGACCATACTTCCTCATGGGAGCAGCTATGAGTCCTATCTACCACTTTCCCTCTCTTGTAACACATGGATAGCATACAGATTCTGCTTCCTTGGGAATGATGTACCTTAGTCTCCTCATGGCCTTCTACTGACCCCCAGGATCCAATTGAATCTCCTGAAGTCATCTTTCTTGGAAACACCTAAATGATACCGATCTTGGCCAAGGCCCCCATGTAAAGATTAGCATTTGAGGACCTGGCTCAAGCAGGCTCTCTGTTCTAGCCTGTGCCCTTCACAGTGACTTCCTCAGGCCAGCCTCTCTTTGGTGCCATGGGCTACTTTGCAGTATCACTATCATAAAACATACTATCCTGTGGCCAGGAGAGGGAGCTCTGTTATTAGATAATTCCACCATCCACTGGACAGCACGTCAGGGCTGCAAAACAAAATTCTAGTTTTCAGTTTGCTGAGTCCAAGAGAACCAAACCTCTATGCATAATTCCTTGTACTAAGCTCTGGAAAGAAACTACCAGAAATAAAGCAATAAGCTCAGTGTCCTGTGACCTCTAGGTCACAGGTCCTTGGGTCAAACACATCTAGGCACAGAAAGGTTTCTTCCCACACAAACACTCCATGAGATTGAACTTGTGGATACGGGTGAAACTGAGCCCTGTTGGGAACAGTCGCTCAGGAGGATCTTGCCCAGGCGTTCCCAAATATTTGCCACCACACAGAGATATTCAGGGCAGCACAACCAACATAGATAGGGGCAGTGAAGAGTGTATACACCTGGGCAAACCACGATGTGGGTCATACATGACAGAGACTAATTTGTCCCACTTTCTTAACGGGTGTGCCTTTGCCATTTGGTTTGAAGGACATTTGCATAATTTAATAAAATTATTCAGCAGGGCTCAATGGCCTGCTGAGCTTGAGAAGGTCTTTATGTTGCTCCTTGTGAATGAATTTGAGCCGTTCAGGCTTGACCAGGGCTACAGGTGCCCCCTAAGCAGCAACTCAAAGCCACAAGTTCTCCACCCGCACACACCCACTGGCTGAATTCTTTTTAAAAAGGACTCTGCTCTTTGCAGCACTGAACAGCTTCTGCTTTTGCGCCTCAGGGGACAAGCCCATAGCCACTGCGGCTGTGCAAGAAGCCAGGAAAGACTGCTTCTCGGGAACACTGTAATTTGGGTGAGGCGCCAGAGGAGAAAACCCTTCCGGGTCAAGGATCTGAGCAGAGATATATCTTCTGGCGCCGGAACTGCGAGGACACCACGTTTGGAAGCCTCTTCGGGAGCAAGGTCGGATCCAGAGATTCTCGCCATGGAGACTCCTCAAGACAGCTGCCAAGGTTTCCAAAAGCCTCTGAGTCTGGGAGCTGAGGAGGACCAGGAACAACGGCGTGGTGAGTAAACTGGTTCTGACTGGACTTGATGAAACTCGGGGAGAAAAGGCAGTAGAAAGAACAGTGGACCCGCACTTCGGTTCGGTTACGGAACACTGCCTGTGGTCTTTCTCCGGACTTTCCGGAGATCCCTGGGCCATGATGCTCAGATATTTATCTCTGCATCTTCTTTGTATCTTTCAGGTAGGAAGACAGTGGTCTCCGAGGCTGGAGAGGAAGGAGACCAGAAACGGCTTGTACTGGGCGGGCTTGCTCAGGGTGGGCTTGATCAGGGCGAACTCGCCCAGGGTGAGGTTGCTGAAGGCAAGCGTGCTCAAGAAGAGCCTGCTCAGTTCAGTGTCACCCAGGAAGCCACGGGAGTAGGAGAGGAGGGAGAAAAGAAGGAAGAAGAAATGGAGGGAAGGCATGCTGGTGATGGTGCTTCTGGCTCCGCGGATGACAACATCCAGCAAGAAGGTGGCCAAGGCAGCAATGATCAACAACAACCTCAGCAAGAGGCAGGGATTCCTGAGGGGAACAGGTATCAGCAAGCTGAGAACAGTCCAGCTCACAACCCGAACCGCCGCACCAAGTTCACCCACTCTCAGCTGCGTGATCTGGAGCGCCTTTTCCAAGAGACTCGCTTTCCCAGCTTGCGTGTAAGGTAAGCAGATGGCCAGTGCTTGGCACCTCATTTACAGGTACTGCATTCTGGTCTAGAGTGTCCTATGGCTCTCCCCGTCCCTCTGATTCCCTGTAAAAATAATGGCACCCGCCCTGCATTTAAGACCTTCCAGCTGCAATTACAACCTTTCTCCAGCATTTAGGATTGCCTGCCTGCAGTTAGATCCCAGGGTAGGGGTATCAGGGCTATGTGGTGTAGAAACAAAGGTGATTTGTTACCCTGTTCAAGATTGGGAAATTTAGACAATGTTTGGTGTCTAAATGAGTTTCCAGAAGTATGGCTGAGAAGTCTGAGGCATGGCTGGGGAAAGCAGGAGGGATTCTACCTTGGGTTAAAAATTTGCAGATGCATTTCATCCTGTATGCTCTCTAAGTGATTTTTACATTTTCAGTAAACTAAAGTGGCATCTGTGTTTTTGGGGATACCCTTGAATTTGGTCTTTAAAAGAAACTCATTTCTAATGCAAGGTTTAAGGTAAATGTTAAGAACAGTGACTGTAAATAAACATGTATAAGCACACAAGTGTGGGCCCATCATATAAAAACAAATAGGACGTGTCCTTACACACTTGATTTCTACCACAAAGCCTAAATGTTGAAACTTTTTCCCTTTAGGAGGGATGTTGCACGATGGATGGGTGTCGAAGAAGCTGATGTGCAGGTAAGTCTTCTGAAAAACAACAACAACAACAACAACACAAGTTTTGGAAGGATGCCACACCAGGTGATGTTGCTGTCTAGAATTGTACTAGCAGAACAGGACCCTGAGGTTGCGTCCCAAGGCTGCTAGAACAGTACACAGACAGGCTAGGTTCAAGATGATACCAGGTCTCCATTTTCCCAGGCAGGAAATGCCAGCTGGGCCAACAGAAAAGCTTCTTAGCTTTTAGGTGATTTGTCTGTCCTTCAGGGATGGAGTGTGTTCCCGAAGACCTTCTGGAGGCTGTGCAGCCCACGTGCCTCACACTAGTGAAGAGACCATGTTCTTACCCACTTTAAACTCTGTCACTCTGAATGTGTCTGAAACTCTTCTCTCACAAGAGAGAACTCTTCTCAGAGTGGCTCAGTGCTCTGGTGTGTAAATGTGAGAGACCTAGCTTCCTTCTGAAACCAATAGTGGGACCAGGGACCTGAAACAGCCTATGGCACATTTACCTGTGTTTTAGTGGGTGTGTATCTGCACTCTGACCACCATTACACTCAGCCCTAGCTTTTCCACATCTAATGCTGACAAGAGGAAAGACCTATAGTCACTATTCTGGGAGGCCGGAAAGGAAGCACCAAGCAGGAAGAAGTGCCCTTTGTCTCATAAAATGTGCATTCTGGGTACTCAAAAGTGACTAACACCTTGAATCCTCAGCAGACTGACTCTTGGCTTCTTAGAGTTCTTGAGGGTGGGCTGGAGAATTTTTGATAATTTACCACAGCAAGGAGCAGGAACCACCCAAAAGGACATGTGAATCCTTTCCTGAAGAAATGTATAAAACACATTAAGGATGGAGAAAAGAGGCAATGTTTTGTGTCTGTTCTGTGGTTGAAAAACTGGGTGTGGTGTCCTGTTTCCTAAGGGGCTTCTTGGGAGGCAGTGTTTATTCTTTCAGTGAGAATGAACCCTGTTTCTTCCAGCATACTGAATAATCAAAATATACCTCAGGAATGTCTTCAACCATTCTTGGGGTTAGACCAATGAACTTTAGGCACATTTAAAAGATGTAGTGATTTCTCTAGGGGAGTGGCTCCGAGAGAGCACATGGCTAGCACACTCCAGGCCTTGGGATGGGTTCTGAATACCTTCCAAACTGTTAACAAAATGAAGCAGGCGTATAGTGCTCTAGAGTGTGTGCTTTAGAGGTGACACTGTTCAGTGAATTAAAGTATCTCTGTCTCCTGCTATATTATAGGATTGGTTTAAGATGAGGAGGTCCCTTTTCCGGAGAAGCAGCAGACTGCTGATGTTCTGTGAATTGCCACCAATACCCGAGAACAATGATCCCTGAAGATTTTGGAGCAGCACTTGAGTGCCACCCCTGTCCTCGAGCCAGATGAGGATGGCTTCTTCTGAGCCACCCATGATGGCCAGGACAACCTTTACTTCTCTATAATAATTTCAGCAATAAAGAAGTGGATTCTAACTATATTGTCTCCATTGTCGTTGAAGTTATTAAAATATGGGTATAAATACTTGGACAGTAGTCAATCCCAGACATGGCATGTAGGCAGAATAACAAGGAGGCCTTCCTTATAAATAGACACAGGCAATCACTGCCAATGTGGGAACAAGTTGTTATAAGGACAGAGAGCGAAAATCCCCTATGAGCAGAAGGACAGTCTGTTTCTAGACAATAAGTCCCCCACTCTGTCCCTCTACCCCTGGATGGTATTGAGAATATCCCAGAGGCTACTCCCAGGTTTGCTGCTTGGAAGGGAGAGGAGAATCTGTCTATCCACGCCAGAGGGAGGTTTCTGTCTCCCTTCTTCCATTAGGTCTCAGGGAGCATATGGTCCCATCCTTGCCTGCTCAGCAGACTACAGGACTGATATGTCTTCTGTCTGTATTTTGTCATTGGCCTTGTAGAATCCTCAGTAGGAGATATTTGTTGCTTTGTGGGGTGTGAGATTTTGCGTCTCAGCAGCTCTAGGTGTATAAACAAGCAGGAGCCCCTAGCAATGCTGCAGAGCAATCAGTCAGTGCAGAGAACTTGCAACATTCTCTCCTGCCATATGTGATTATATTCCTTAATGGTCCCTGTGAACAAGGGGTATGATAGAGGTGTCCCATTTAGACCTGAGTATTAGGCAGGAGGTTTGAGGACAAAGGCAACATGGCCAGGACCAAGAGGTCCCAACCCTCATCTCCTTTTCAGAAACCTGTGCTAGCAAAAGCCCGCCCTTGCAAAAGCCCGCCCTTGCAAAAGCCCGCCTTAACAAAAGCCCGCCTTTGGAAAAGCCCGCCCTTGCAAAAGCCAGCCCTTGCAGAAGCCCGCCCTTGCAAAAGCCCGCCCTTGCAAAAGCCCGCCCTTGCAAAAGCCCGCCTAACAAAAGCCCGCCTTTACAAAACTCCGCCTTTGTAAAAGCACGCCCTTGCAAAAGCCAGTTTTTCAAAAACCCTCTCAAAAGCCTGCATAAGACACTGGACAAAGCATGCTCCTAGTTCTGGATTCCAATGTGGCCACTACACATAAGATCCACACACAATTCCCCCAAATAAGGCTATGACCCCAGTACCTCCCATTACATCAAAACTCCCTCCACTCCCGTTAATAAATCCTTTAACCCAACTCAGCCTTGGGACTTCACAACCCCCTCCTGGAAGGTCAGTGAAACTGCCCTAGAGCCATCCCAATAAACCTGCCTTTTCACTGTGCATTCATTATACTGAATTGATTCTTTAGGTCACAGGAGAAGCCATTCAGTGTTTACTCCATACTCTCTTAAGGGCTGCACTTTGTCAAGTTGTGACTCTCTCCACTAACACAACCAACAGCAAATGATATCTACTCTGAGCTGGTCAGGAGACATTATGAATTTTGTGATGTGTGAGGTTTGGATAAACTAGTTTGTCTTTGCACAGGGAAGGCTGGAAAGGGATCTGGAGGAAGGAATGAAGTTTGAGCAGAGCTCATGCCCTCAGGCTGCATGAGCCTGATGGAGCCCAGTGCTTATCTCCTAGATGCATGGGGGTTGGAAAACTCTGTGAGCTGTTCTCAGTCTTGAAAGGGTGTGTGGGGGGACAGTGGTTTCCAGGGGCTTCAGTCTCCTGGAACCTGAAATCCTGAAATGCTCCACCTCTATCTTCCATCTTCCATAGGTTGAACTCCTCTTTTTACTGACCATGCTGCCACCATTTGTTCCTGCTGCTGCTGCTGCTTCTGCTGCTGCTGCAGTTTACACTGCCACTAGGGTTCCTGCTCCTAGCTGACTTCCTGATGGCATTTCACAACCACATTTCCCCTAAGATAATCACCAAATTCTCATGGAGGGGATCAACCATGGCTACTCAGAGAGAAAGAGAGATGGGTTCACTAGGGAACCCAAGGTACACAGAGGAAGTTTCCCGGGCTCTTGGTTTGATGTTGCAGCAAAAGTCTAATTTTATGAGTTCCATTTGAGCACCTGCCACCAAACTTCCAAGTAGAAACTGTTATCTCCAGACTGCTTGTCTTTCAGTCTGCCACATCTGGTGTCATCAGACATGTCACAGAGCCAAACTCCATGAACTGAATCTAGTGATGGCTTCAGATTCTCCTCATGTAGTCCATGGTATGGACTGGAGATGTGTCCTTGACACTCTCTATGGGGAGTCATGAGGAAATGTGAACAAATCTCTAGTAAGGCCACAGGAAGGGATTGAACTGTTTCCTTCCTGTGTCTTTATGAGCTCTCCTATATCATGAAACATTTCACCTCAATTTGGAATGTCTTAGGTCTTCAGGAGTTTTCCTCCTGGATGGAAAGTATCCTCTTGGAGGAAACTGCAGCACACAACATGTGTATCCAGCAGCAGAGCCAGTCCTGTTGAGGGAAGCTCTAGGAGAAGACATGCCTGAATCAGATTCTGACTGATCTTCCCACCATTTAGATAAGGTGTCCCTTTGCTGTACCTCAGAGTGCTCTGCAAGGGACCATATTGACTGTCTCTGAGAAGGAGTCTACTTAAAACATGGGCAGAGCTTGGTGGGAAGTCAGCTAAACAGTTGTTGAAAAGGGTTCTCTGCTTCTCTTCAGGGTGTCTGACATGGGGATCCTGTCTTAGGGATAAAGCTTCCATTGACAATTCAGGAGGAGGGGATACATTCTGATGTCCATTGAGGAAGTTATGTAAATATCCCTTCATCCAGCTATCCAACATGCACACGGCACTTCCTCCTTAAGGGAACACAACCTGTTTCCAGTGAGTTTCCTTGGGGACTTAGAGTCACTGAGGTTACAGTCACCACTGGCATGGGCTCTTATGTTCCTATCTAACTGCTAGGTTGGCCATGCCCTTGAAGAATTTTCCACACCCCACAGAGTACTCAGAGCATATCTCTATACAATGGTCACAGCCCACCTTCTGGATCTTTCTCTGAAGCCATTTCAGCCCAAATGGGCAGTGCTCTGTGTCTCCCTTCAATAAAAGCAGGCAATTTATTTCCTCCAACACAAAACTGGCCTGCTTCATTCAGCCTGTGGCTGCAACTGTTTGACAAGGTTTCAGTGTTCTAGGTATTGATTGGAGTTCATATTGATAGGTGGAGAGATCTGACCTCGAATGCATTAGAATACACATCCATGAGGGTAGGAGTGTTAGTTAGACCCACCTGGACAGGATCTGTGTGCTGTAGGGTTTGCCTGCCTTGACATCGTGGCCACTTTGTACCACCCTACGAACAGGTCACTTGATCTTACTCTGTTTCCTCAATTTCAGGTGCAAAAGCACAGCTGGTCTTACCAGCTGGGGAGGACAGAAGTGGGGAAGAGAGAGATCGGTCCTCTCTCTGGGCTCCGAGCCTCAGCAGCAAAATGGGGAGGAGTAGAAAAACTGAGGGTACTGAGGAGAAAGGGGAGGAATGGAGAAAATCCTTCCGCTGTAGACACTTCGGGCATCAGGGATGACTGGACCCAAGAGGGTGCCATTAGCAGTAGGCAGAATACTGAGCTTCTGCCTCAGAAACCAGTCCCTGAGTGTAGGTGGGGCACCGAGGATGTGCAGCCTGTGCCACTTCAGAAACCCCGTGGCCAGTGGATGCCACATGGGTGATCCCAGGTACAGTCTGTGTCCCTAATGGTGCCTGGTGCACATCCTGTGCCCATTCCTGTGCCCCATGTACAGCCTAAGCCAATCAATGTGCTCCAGGCACAGCAAATGCCCATCGCTGTGTCCTCAGTACAGGCTACACCAGATAATGTACCCCCAGCACAGCGTCTACCAATCACTGTGCCCCGGGCCCAGCCTGTTCCCATTCCTGTGCCCCGGGTCCAGCCTGTTCCCATTCCTCTGCCCCGGGCCCAGCCTGTTCCCATTCCTCTGCCCCGGGCTCAACTCGTGCCATTTACTGTTCCCTCATCAGAGCCTATGCCATTCACTGTTCCTCATGTACAGCCTCTGCCTGTTTCTCGGCCTCATGTACACCCTATGAGTGTTACAGTGTCCCATGTACAGCCTTTGCCTGTTCCTGTGCCGCAGGCCCAGTCTATGCATGTTTCTGTGCCCCACATAGAGCGTATGCCAATCTCTGTGCCTCATGCACAGTGAATGCAGGTGCCTGTGCCCCATGTACAGCATTTGCCTCTTCCTGTTCCACAGACTCAGTCTACACCTGTTACTGTGCCCCACGTACAGCCTATGCCAATCAGTGGGCATCAAACACAGCCTACACCAGTTCCCGTGTCCAATACACAACATATAGCAGTTAAGGAGTCTAGCATTCCACAAACACCAGTTCCTGGTGAACAGCCTAGAGCAGGCCAGATGGCCTGTGTACAGCCCGTACCAAACAAAGTACCCCATATACAACACGTGCCAGTTTTGGTGTCCACTATACAGCCTGTGCCAGTGCTGGTGTCTCTCTGTTGCCTCCGTGACAGACTTACAGGACTACAGCTGCAGGAGCTGGAATGCATTTTCCAGAGAAATCACTACCTCTGTTCAGAAGACAGGGACACTCATTATGTGTATTCAGTACTTTGGGGAGGGAGCAATCTGGTACAGAGAGGCCTGTGACAATCTGCATCTGTCCTTGTCTTCATTTATTAGAAACTTTAAATGAGTTTTTAAGTGGGATGTGTTTGGTCTGGAGGGATCTCTCCTTCAAGTCAGGGCACGGTGGCTAACATTTGGAGGTCAGAGGACAACTTGAAGGACTTGGTTATCCCCTTCCATGCTGGGTGTCCTGAACTGGAAAATCAGTTCAGCTGGCTTGCCCACTGTATGCAGGCTTACCTACTGAGCAATCTTGTCTGCCTCCAGTTTGACTTCTAGAACGAAGGTTAAACTAAGAGATGGAATGCAGCCTGC